TTACCATTGGGCTTGTACCATGTCCAGGTTGGACTGGGTAGTGAGCTGGAAAGATTGCACCTCAGGGTTATGGTGTTACCAGACCAGGAACTTATGTTAGCAGGCGACRAWGGTTTTGAAATCGTKGGCTTGTCTGAACAAATTGAAATATTAATTTCCAAAAAATATAAGGATCGTCTACGTAAAATGATGAGAAAGGTTGGAAAATAAATTCTATTTTGAGTTATGAATTCTTCGTACAGAGAAACCATATATTTAACTTCGTCATAAGAAATGATCGGTACCGAAGAAAGAAAACAAATTGATCTATCTTTTGGGAATCATTCTGAAGCGCAAACTGGGATCATCTGCTGAAATATTTTTGTCAGTGCAGAGATGCGCGTATGCTGACTTATGACTTGTTTTGGCCAATTTAAAAGAATTTGTGAAAAATCGGGCAACAAGCATTATTTATAATTAAAAAAGTACGTTTAAACAATTTAAAAATAGCAAATAATAAGGTCTTAATTTTATAATAATAATGACGAATAAATTTTGTAATCATTGAATGCGTTTGATATATTTTCAGCGATTTTACATGGTTTTCTTAACTAGAATCATAGAATCTTGTAAATCTCGAGAGCCGCTTTGCGCCGCGTGCAAACCTTATTTCATTCATTGAGGAAGGTCATCGTTTTGAATGAAACGTCTGAATCACCAACGTTTTTAACATAAAGATAGTGTCAAAAATACATGTTTCGGATTATTTTTTGTTCTTACTTTTTTACTTACAATTTACAATAAGAAGAGTTCTAGCTCTGACCAGCTTCTCATTTGGGTTATTGGATGCATGGCACTCGTACGTCCCACTTTGATTTCTTTGAATGTTGATTAAGCTTAGAATTGCAGTTCCTATACCCTTTCTAAGAACKTTAGACAATTGCTGAACATGTACCCAAGTGACATTTGGTGTTGGGTGACCAACCGCTGTACAATTCATATTCAAGTATATGTGTTCAATGGTTATAGTTGTTGCATTTGGCTTTTTTATAAACGATGGTGTTTCTAAAAAAAGAAAATAAAGGTCATTTAAAATTCATGATCCGCTTCCATGTTTAAAAATCATCCGTTTGAGATTTTGATGTAGTACTACAATAAGGAAAAGGAAAAAACAGGAAAAGGTGTTGGGTGCTAATCCTCCTTCATGGCAGCACGGGTGCTGAATTGCGARAGACGCAGCTCGACGCGCTATCAAGTCGAAGTGCTATATTACAGACACATTTTTACATACACTTACACATAGGCGTGCTGCCGGCTAGGCGCTTCCTTTACATAGCAACGAACGACTGAACGCGGAGCACAGCAGATAGAAATGGTTCGTTTTTACTGAGGGAGGAAAACCCTGAAAGACCCGGAAAAACCCTCGACGCAAGGGAGAGAACGAAAGAAACTCAAAATCACATATGGCGCCCCGACCGAGATTCGAACAGGGTCCACAGAGGTGACAGGCCAGCGCTCTCACCGCTCGGCAACCCATGCGTCCCCAATATTATAATTTTTCTTCAAACTGATATTACTGATCAATTTCTTTAGCATTATTTATCTTTTTTTTTTTTTTGCTATGGTTACGGTTATCATTATCATAATGGTTATGATTACTATCGTTACAAATAAACAGGAAAGCAAATCAAAACGAAACAAAACGAAAATGAAAACTCGACTGGAACAAATTTGTGCAAATTCTTATTYTGTTTCAAGATCATTGATTGTATAACACACCTGTAATAATCAGTTGAGCTTGGCTTGTTGGCATCGAACTGACTGAACCACTGGATAAAAACAATATGCATCCATATGTACCAGAATCAGCCAGAGTTACATTTGTGATGACCAAAGTAGCTTTACCCTCCACACGCACTCGTACTGTAGGTATTCGTAATCGAGGTGGACAAGTGTTTGTGTCGATCTTAAATTTACGTCCATCAAATGCATCACCATACCCAATCATATAACTGTAGTTATGGAAATACCATCTTGGTGATCGAGAATCAAAATCTGTGTTGATATCATCAGCATGGTAGTCCCACTCTAACTTAGCAGTTTGGCCTTTCACTACGTACACTTTGTCGGCAGGAACTTTGATAAATCGAGCTGCTGCATCTAAAGAAACTAAGAAATAATAAGTGGAATGATTATGTAGAGTGCAAGTCACATAAGCATGAAACAATTCTTAACTATGTATTGCTAAATAAGATTTAGTTATCAACTAACTAAGAATTGAGAATAATGCTACAAAGGAATTTAAATAATTGGCATTGACGTGTTTATGCTTTGTTGAATTCTTAGTTAGTTGATAAGTAAATCTTATTTAGCAATACACCTTATTCCAAAATGGCTGACTAGCCCTTGATGTCTCGTTTTCATGAAATTGTTCTTTTCTTTTAAAGTCACTCAAGCTCAAAGACAAAAGAATAATTTTATGAAAACGAGACATCAAGGGCTAGTCAGCCATTTTGGAATAATGTGTATACATATTAAGAATTTCATATTACAGGATGTCAAATGATAATTTCAACTTTTACCCCTCCTTTGACACACTATTTAAGAATTTGACACAATATTAAGAATTGTTTCATGCTTATGTGACGTGCACTCTAATTACATGGGCTTCCAAAGGAAGACCATGTCTTAAATTACCGACGTTTCGTCTGTGGTATACTTCAAATTATATCCGGGACCTTTTCATTTTTGACATCTATTGTCTTACTGTCATTCATGTATGGTGGCCTAGAAGTGCCACAGTCAATTAAAGAAAATAAATTATTATGTTTCATGATTTTATCTACTGACTACGAGTTTTGTTTGTATATTTTTTTACTTAAGCTCTTGTTCAGTTAGTTTTAATTTAGTTTTCATGTTTTTTTAGTTTTGAATTAATTTAGTTTTGTTTGGATTTAACCATAGTTTAGTTTAATTTCAGTTTAGTTATGCAAATTCAATTCAATTTTCAAGGAAGAAACACAGTTTTATTTCCAATATGAGGTTTAGTTTTCAAACCGATGTTTAGTGCAGTTCGATTACTAGAAAACTAAACTCATCAATGGCCTATTCGTGCCATAACAATGCAATGCGAGCACTTTATCCAATGCACAACCCACAATGCAACTCGCACTTTCCGTAAAGTGAAATCTCGCGACTCTAGCACGTGTGCTTTGCTTGTATTGTTGCAAAATGTCGAAAAGAGGTGGAAAATTCAACAACTTCAAAGCCAAAGTGGCCAAGAAAAGAGCTGGCAAAGATGAAGCAGTGGGAGGAGTGATGGAATACATTACCGTCCAAAGATTAGCCTCGCATGTCGAGGGGAGGTATCAGAAGTATGCGAGAATTGGAGCCTTAACTATGGTCCCCCTCGCCTGTGAACCAACACTTTCCAACATAAAGGAGGCATGTAAGCGCTATTTCAAATGTGAAGATATGGATTGTGATATTGTTGCTGGCGAGAGAGGCCCCTCTTGGACCGAGACCTGCCAGATATCCAACTTTAAAACAATACATGTCCGTTTCATCGAGCGGGAGAGTGCAAGTGAAAGTGTCAGTGCTGAATACACCGTGCCAGGTCGAGCTTCCAAACAACGAGATCACACATTTTCTGTTCCAAACCAACCTTCCCCTTCTAAGGAGCCAGTGCCTTCCCGCGTAGCCGCCTCTGTTCCTTTAAGTTCTATGCTAAAACTCGGCAAGTTGATCCAGTCAACCACCGAAATTGCTTCAGTAGAGATGGAGGAGTTCGACTTGGCAAAAAAAGCATGGCGCGAGCCGTTCCAAGCAACTTTTTCTCTTGCAAAGGAGAAATTCAGCACGGGGTCGTTCAGAGAGGCTTACCTGGCCAAAGCTTTAACTTCATTGGCACCAGGCAAGTATGTCCTCAAGAAGTGGAAGGAAGACCAAGTAAAAGAAATTGAAAAATATTTCAAGGATATTGGCGATCATACAAGGAAGGCAGTTCAAATGAACTCCTTGTCAAGAAACTTTGCCTTAAGCCTGTCAGCTGAAGCCCCCCCTGATTTTGGGAAAACCCTAACTTACACTAAAGTCTACCTGGGCAAGCTGTATGGAGAATATGTCACCATAGAGAAGTATCTAGAGGGAACATTTTCAAAACATGTGAACAATACTGGTAAGGTGTGTGGAGATGGGAGTGAAGTGAGTCTCAAAGCTGAAGCCTTTTCTCACTACACATATCAAAAGTCAAGGGAGCAGCTTATGGTCTTGGATGTACAAGGAGTCGGTTTTGATCTCTGTGACCCAGAAATTGCAACCACTGATATATTGGATCCGAAAGGTGATTACATTTTGTTTTGTTGTGGAAATCTGGGAAAGACGGCTATCACAGAATTCAAAAAAGAACATATCTGCAACAAGTACTGTGAAATGCTAAGCCTAGATGAAATGGAAACAGAGCCAGAAGAAAAACAATATGACTCAAATTGTGTGCTTTAGCTTTTAATAGTGGAGATATGGTTAGTCTTAGTTAATGTCAAAAATGGGACTTGGAAAGTTGTATCTGTAATTTACTGAATTTTGAGAGAAAGATTTCACTCTCTAAGATGCAGAATAATCCAAATTTATATACTAGACCAATCACCATTTTGTTTTCTACTTGATATATATACATGTTGAATTGATGTTACAAAAATTGTACTACACAGAGATATAGTGTAGAAAACCAAACCATCGATGTGCTGATTATCTCAGATTATATGCAGTTTGTATTTAGTATTTGTTACAAATTTAATATGTTATGTTATAAAAAAGTAATATTATATGGATGATTTATTGCCAGATAAATGGACACATTGAGAATCTAGAGTACACATATGTATTAGGGTACTTTTACTGGTACTTACTACCTGAAGCATGAACACATAGTGATCATTAATGAATTCAATATTGCATTATTGATTTGATTCTTGGATTCAAATATTAAAACGAAGTTTTAGATACTGAAAAATATTCAAACATGCAAAAAATACAATAAATGAAAATAATATGTAGATGGTAAATATTACTGCACATTTTCAAAATTTTGAAAAGTTGACTAATAAACTCAATAACCAATATTTGAATCCAAGAATCAAATCAATAATTGAATAATGAATTTATTTTTAATGATGTCTAAGTGTTTACGCTTCAGGTAGTTTGACTATAATTATACACAAGTGGTTGTTGTAGATTGGTATTTGATAAAAAGTGTATCCAAACAACCAGCCTGCTAGGCCTGCAATCTTTTTTTTTGCATCTAGAAATCAAGAACCCACTTGAGGGCCGGCTTGCGGGCTACCAAAAAAACAACAGATTAATGTCACGTTTTCCTTAGTTTCAAAAATTGTTTTTTGTATTCCTGACACTTCAAGTTGGATTTCTTTGAGAAAACTATTAATTTAATCTTATTTAATTTTGATAACCAAAAATATAAAAAAGCATCTGTAAGATCAAAATATATGTTAGCACAGCTTCTAAACATATATTGACAGATACATCTCTGAGGCATGGGATATTACTCTGATTCAAAACACTTGTTACATTATTTTTATTATTATAAAGAATTGTGGTGTATTATTTGCTTGCAATATGTTTTACTCAATACATCAGATCACATGGGCAGATATTTCAATATTTATTGAGTGTGGTCAAATCATAAATTTCAAAGCAAATAATTAAAATTCAAAGAATGTTTTTATTAATGAGCACTGTGTTTCTGCTTGAGGTACATTAGTTTGATTATAAATGAGATTTTGTTTATATTTTTTGTCCAATGAACTAATAACCAAAGCAATCCAATCAGGAAATCTAGGAAATAGCAGCTTCAGAAAATTATATTCCTGACACCCAGAACCAAGCAAGTGAAAAAAAACATTTTCCCATCAGTTCCTGTTTTACAACTTATTAATTTCATATATTATAGTCTTACATGTTTTAGTCTCTTCTTACAGCTGTTACGCGGTTGGTTCCCACAGGTCTCATGTGACCCGGGGAATGAGATAGGTATTTTTCAAACTTATCTCTTACCCAGGCATGTTGCTGGGGCCTGTATAAAATGTGAAATGATACAAAAGAACCCAAAATAATACCAAACAATCAAGGCAAATCTACAACTAAAATCTACATATCTATTCCAGGGACTAAGGAATGCTGCCAACAAGAGTGCACATGTTCAACAGAATAATATATAATAAAATGGCAATCGTGATTTTGTTTTGGCATGACATGTGTATGCCCCTGTATTCCTTTAATCTTGGCACAATTTTAGGGGATGTTTACATTCTGTTACTTTTATCACAACCTTATCTAGTTAGAAAATAGAGCTTTGTCAACAGATGACTTTAAAAACAAATAAGCATCTTTGGCATCTGCAGGTTCAATGTCGTCAATATTTGGCAAATGAAGTTCACATTCATGACGAATCTCTGGTGTCAGATAGTCATCTGACCCTTCAAAAACATCTGATTGGTCTGCTACTTCCAACAGCTGTTCCTCTGTTACAGGAATACCACACTCTTCACCACCATATTTTTCAGGAAACTGATAAATGTGTTCGGGAACTCCTGCTGGCAGTTCTTTTCCCTTCTGTTTCCGGGTTCTATGATTGTTCCATATGCACTCTCTGAACAGATCAAGCTCCTTTTGAACGACTGGTAAGTATACATAAGCCAGCAAATTCCTAAAACGAAAATCAAATAAATAACCTATTGAGGGAATTGCTATTCACCCCTCCACCCTAGATTTTTTCTTCTTAGCATGTGTTGATAATTGCCTAAACTGATGCAAAACCTACTTTACAAGGCAAAGATAAAATTTGTCTGTCCATCTGAGTGAGAGATGAGGGAGTCCCCAATCCCCCTTGGATTTTAATCCTTGTGAACTAACTTTTTTTTAGAATTATTGTCTTTGCACCTTTACCTAAACATTTCTTGTAAAACTTGCCCTTTATAACTTTGTAATTTTGTATTAAGCAGTAAATATAAAAGTCTGCATTTTTTTTGAATACTCTGTTATGAAAAAGGTCTATTATGAGAAGGGTTTGTCGTATGACTTCCATATATGGATGTGCATGTACGGTGCTGATGTGCACATAGAAGGCTCTCATGTCCCAATTATGTGGAGAAGAACTTAGAAAATTTCAAAGACTTAAACTTAAACCGAAAAGAAATTTTTGAAGGACGGGTACTAAGATTCAAACCAACGCTATGCATTGCCTAACCCGATATATTCCCTAAACCTAACCATTAAGCCACGAGACCAATTTGCTTGAGTGAACCTGAATTTTTGTGATATTTATGCAACGGCATGCATGAATAACCACGCATATGTACATAAGATTGAATATATAATTACTGAACCATCTATAGGGACATGAGAGCCTTCTATAGGTACATTACAGCCATGCATGCATATGGACATCCATATATGGAAGTCGTACAACAACCTCTACTCTCTATTATACCAGCCTAGTCTTTAGCTTTATTCGAGGGCTCCTTGTACTGTTAGAAAGCCTAGGACTAGGCTGCTATTTTACCTGTCCTTTTCATCCGTTGGATCATAGTCTCCATTTTCAAGAAGTGCATTCAATTGAACTTTAAAATATCTCTCCATTCTCTCAAGAAGCTCTTTCCACCACCTTTCAATTTTGTTTTGTGTGGATGGACCATAGAGTACAGATTCTGTTACATCCTCTAAATCACCTTGAGGTTCCCGAAGAAAGCAGTGAATTGCGGCCATTATATCTGTCTCTGTTCCTCTGTCAATTCTCAATGTCTGGGGCAAAACTGTTAAAAAACCCAGAAATACTGTATCAAAACTATAAAATTATACAAAAGATATCACATTCTTGAAAGGTTGTATGCAAAAGTTTGCAGTTTGAACACAAAACCATCCCTTAAAAAGGTGTGGCATGTTTTTGAGAGACCACGCCCTAGCAGTTAAGTAGTGGTTATTCAACTTAAAAGTCCAGCTTGATTTAAGTGGCTCACTTTGCCAAGGATATGATGGATAGTAGCTGGTGGTGATAGCATTAAGTGAAAAGCACTGCTATTGGTAAATTTAGGGAAGATATCCACCTTTTATGAGGGATCAAGTCAAATATTCTTCAAATAAATATTGTTATATTAGAGTTTCATAGTGCTACTCTTACTGTTAGTGCTGTATTATTGTTATGTGTTGTATTTAATTACATGCAATTGATCTCACCTCTGCATTCCTCTAAGTACTCCAAGTAAAATCGACCTATAATTTTGGGGCTGCTATTGGTTGTCCACACTTTTAAAAAGTTAACCCTTCCACTATATGTATCTAAACCACCATAAATGGCTAATGGGAACATCCAGTTTTGATAGCCACACAGTTTGTCATGACCATCGAGAGACATGCAGCAATTGGGTCCCTAAGGTAAAGAATGTTACTGACTCAAGTATTCTGATCATTGCATTTCAGTATACTCAATACAGGTTTTCTGAAATAGACATTGTTTGGAGATCTCGATCATTCTTCAAATCAAGACATTTTCATCAATAGGCCCTTTGCAGCTGGGGGCCACGTGACCACACCTACCTTAAATCAATTAGCTATCAAAAAATGATGTTCAGAAATGGAAAGAGGGGATCCATCAAAATAGCTGGTAAGAAGACATAGTTTCAAGTCCCAACTCTAAATACTTCAAAAATTACAGCAAATATAAAATAATTTTTTTCTAAAGAAACATATGCAAAAACAGCACTGGAGAGCAAGGCTTGCTCTCCAGTTCTGTTTTCCCATACGTTTCTTTAGAAAAATCAATAATTTTCACAGACTTGAAATTCTGCCATTTTACCAACATAAACCTGCTCTTTCCATTTCTGAACATCATTTTTTGATAGCTGATTGATTTAAGGTAGATGTGGTCACGTGACGCCCAGCTGTAAAGGGCCTATTCATTTTTAATCTGATTAATCTCCAAATGATGACTTAGGCAAGAATAAATTTGGATTGAGTAGTGCTTACTCCAGTGACAAAGGCATTTGTTCGCTTCGGTCTCTTGGGCTGTCCTACTCCTCCTCTTGCCTCTAATCCTGCTGGATTAACCTCACCCATAGCGGCGTAAACAACATCACGAGGAACATTCAAATTGTGCACTTCGCGAATCTTTAGTTGCATAGCTCTGTACCCGAGCAACCTTCCAGGTCCTTCCATTTCCTTTTTAACAGCTCCAACCACCTCCTGCACGTCAACCGAATAGTCTGTATACCGTATGTTGAAATGACACAACCTTCGGCAAAGAGTTCGCAAGCTCCATGTATACATGGGGTAGCTCGACTTCACAAAATCTAGAATTTCGACCCGGCGCCAGTTTCTGCGAACCATCTTCTCAAGATCTTCTCGGAGTTCTTCGTCTGTTTGCCATTCCGGATTCGAAGAAGCCGCCGCCATTTTGACACAACTCGCCAGGCGTTCGATAAACGTGCGCTGGGGAGCGCTGGGGACAAGCTGGGTACAAGCGAGAAACGCCTGGGACAATTAGGCATTGCATTGTTATGGCACGAATAGGCCATTGATGAGTTTAGTTTTCTAGTAATCGAACTGCACTAAACATCGGTTTGAAAACTAAACCTCATATTGGAAATAAAACTGTGTTTCTTCCTTGAAAATTGAATTGAATTTGCATAACTAAACTGAAATTAAACTAAACTATGGTTAAATCCAAACAAAACTAAATTAATTCAAAACTAAAAAAACATGAAAACTAAATTAAAACTAACTGAACAAGAGCTTAAGTAAAAAAATATACAAACAAAACTCGTAGTCAGTAGATAAAATCATGAAACATAATAATTTATTTTCTTTAATTGACTGTGGCACTTCTAGGCCACCATATTCATGTTTCTAAGCAACGATTGAAAGGTCGCCTCGTGCTTCGGACCTTCGTATAGCCGGAAAAGTTTTTAAGATCGAGCATCAAATATTAGCTTATCAAAGGCTAACTTATACTATTACTGGCTCTACAATCACCAAGGACTTATCTAAGACATGTCAACAGATTTATACTGAGGAAAAACAGAGGATTGGAAGTATTTTAAGAGAAGAACATGAAAGACTATCGATCTGTGTTTAATACAGCCAAGGATGCGACTCTAAAGTAACGGCTCGTCAAACACTGATAAATTACTTCTTTGACAATATTATGAAATTCTACTGAGTACATTGCTTGTTTGATTATTTTTCATTAAAGGAAATCTTCTTTCGCTGTTGTCTTAGTAATATTAATTTCATTAGGGTTCAATATCATTTACTGATTGTGATATACCACAGGAAGCCCATGTAAACGATCGCTGATCGTCTAGTTTAAGTTTATGAGGCCATGATCGCAACTAACGACTCGGAAATATTGACTGTACTAACTCTTATAACCGCGTACACTAAATAACGGGTCATAAGAAATATAAATGGGTTAACATAATTATTTATATTGGCAATAAAATAATATTTGTTATAGACAGACAAACATATTGAAGGTCGATTCGACATTTTGGTTTATATTGTGTGGTGTATTTTTTTTACTCTAAACGTCATATTATATCAGTAGAGTAGAAATATTTGAATATTGAAAACTTTGAATCTTCAGGCTGGAGTTTTCAGCTGAAATGTCCAGCAATCTATTGATTGCCTCAGGAAGAAACATTACTTACTATTACTTAAATACATCCGATCATAAACAGTTATGTTTACCCAAATTTTACTTTGATAAGGCAGTCGTCACTGTCTAATACACTAATATTCGATATGTAACATTAATCCAGTACTCTTAGCCGTTTACTTTCTTTGTAAGTCGTAGTAGTTCTTGAAAAATATCTAGAAACATTAGCAATGTCTAACCTGCTAACTGGAGTAAAATGAAGCCGAAAAGAAGAGCACACAATCCTCGTTCCATCTTGTTCAACGAATAGTGTTTTCTGGCTGCTGCTACTTCAGTCAAAGTCTACTGCTTTGTTCATGTATTCAAAAATGTTGTTCAGCAATCCGTAACACACATTGTAACTGTACTGAAACTGAGATTCAACTATTTTGTTAATTTTGTTAAAAAAATATTAGTCCAATGAAAACCGTTCTATAACTATATACGCAGATTTGTGACGGTTCTTTGGTCATATGGTTGGAAGCACAAACACATAACGTAATGTACTACTAAACAAATGCATTAGCTTCCGCATGGTAACGCTATGTTATCGAGAAGTCACGCTTTATTAATATTCAACAATTCGAAACTCTTTAAATATAAACATCAGCTCACAGTTGTGGTGTGATCGTTTTCGAATCAATCGTAAGTGTAACAACTATTTCAACCTAAATTTTTCTCTTTTTTTATCTTTTGGCATTTTAGTGCTATACTTGAAAAAAAGAAAAAGAAATGAAATGTTCAAGAAAAAAAAGGAAGAAAAAAACTAACTTGTATAATTAGTATTATAATTCTAATGACATTGCACCCCTTAAGATTGCACTAAGAGATTGCACCCCTTGTGCCTTGAAAACGTAGGAGGATTACGACTTCTGACATAGGGGACTGGGGTGCGTAGATTTTTGTAGTTGGTACGATTCTCACTAAGAAAATTGGTTCTTTAAACCTCTGTTTCGTATATATTTCAGCAAGTTATTATAGGTTGAATAGAGAGATTCATTTTTAAGCGAAAAATAACTGAAAATACTAATTTTGAATACATTTAAGCAGAAACTCCGACGGTCTCATAAGTTAAAGTAAGAGCTCGTAATTATTAATGTCATTTTTAGTTGTTTAGGTGAGAACCGTTGTGAATCCACTGTATTTCTTAGCTACTTACGCTAAAACTGGTTAAATATTCTCTGTCGGTAACGACTCTCCGTATTTTAGAGCTTAAATCGGTAATTCGTATTGAATAATTAAGAATATTTTCACTTTTGTAAGTGAGAACCGTCGACGGCGAATTGAGAACCGTCAAACATAGCGTACAATAGTTGGTACTGAGAATACAATTCGCTTACAAGTTTGCTTTAAATTTATGATTTCTTTAAAATAGTTCACTTTTGTTTGCTTATTTGAGTATAGTTTGCAGAAAAAGATACAGAATAAGCCAAATTCTATAATGACACAGGGAACCCGAGTCGATATACACCGAGCCTTTTTGTCCAATAGCGTTGAAAAATGTTCCTTTCACAGACTTTTTGTGCACATGTATAAGCATCCGCCAAAGAACGTTCAGAAATAGTGATATATATACACTCTATCAAGTTTGTGTGTTTTATAAGCAGTTTTGTGTGTATAAATGGCTACATGACGTCATTGCCAAGTCAAAATGTCGACTATTTCAATGATAGAGACACCGAATCGAAAGATGATGCCGATATCCTGCTATCCACATTATATCCCTACAAATGTGACAACATGGATATAATTCAAATTAGCAAGACGAAGTTTCTTCTCAGACAATCGTTGCCAAAATACCTTGGACCATACAATTATTTCTCTCCAGCCTAACATTTTTCTCCTTTATTTTATCACAGTTTTCCCCCTTAGCCCCCTTTCATCAATGTTGGGTCTTGTTTTGGATGCTTGTGTACTATGGTATCATGATCAATGACAACATTGCATTAAGGGGGTCAGGGGGGATGAAATTGTCGGCGGGTGTTGCTTAAAATGAGGAAATTCGCTGGAATGGTCCAAGGATTTTGTCAACGATTGTAGATGCCGTTCATAAAATATTTTTGAGACACTGTTTCAAAGTTCGTATATCTAATGAAGCCTCCATTCTTGACGTCATTATCCTTAGCAGATTGTAAGATAAAACCTTCGCAACTCTAAGACGCAACACTGAAATTCAGGAATATTTTACCATTCAATTATTTACTTTTGATAGAATCAGAGTTCACAGAGAATCAACAATTATTGTGTCAGGCGTCATAGGCACTTAAAGAATAAGAAACATATACTGCAAACAATATCTTAACCTTATTTGATATTCACAAATGAGAAGAAGTTACCTGCATTGGAGAATGTATTAGAGCGATGGTCACCATTCATCTCAAAGTGCGCATTGAAGCCCTTGTGCACGGTTTGTGCGTTATCATCACTCACGAACAATACAGCCATCTCATTGGATAAGGAAAATATCGGCTTTTCTGGAATGGTACTACCACAAAACCGACCAAGTAACTCACCGTTCCACCCCGCGGGCTGCCAATCTCTTATTTCGACATAGTCGTCGAGGCAGTAGTTGTCTGATTCTCGAGCTCAAGAGCCTTAAAGGTGAGTTTGACGCGAAATCCAGTGGGAACAATGAGGCGCCACACTATACACTGGCCTGGAATGTATTTTAATGGGTACCTGGGGCTAGAAATGCTTCCGCTTGTTTCGTTGATGATGTTTCTTGCATTCCGACAAGAACTAGATCCGGCCCTTGTGTTTACTACTGTGATTTTTCCTTTGAAACCTTTGAATTCTGAAAAAGGATCTGAATGAAATCGTAGCCAAAATTCCTTTTCATGTAAACTTATTCGATGGGAATAGATGCGAATTTTGCTTGAGCCGCTTTCCTTTAGAGTGGCAATGGCATTTTTGGAGTACAATGAGCATTTTTTGTAATAGTAAGGGGTCTGAGAGGTTTAGGGTAAATTACTTTCCCTATAAGAATACGCCAACCAATCACAACCACAGTACGCACAAGGCTCTATTTCCATGACGTCGAACACCAACATCATCTGATAACTGTTGTGTACATTTTTCAAATATTGAGGGAAAAATACTTTCCAAGTACAAGTTTGATTGGGCTGGTAATTGCTTGGAAAACCTGGACTTTGGATCTCGTACTTCCAGCCGGGTTTGAGAGTAGCATCTACATCAAAAGCATCCTTTGGACAAGCTGGAAGAAGCAAATCCCATATTATCCAAAACTGAAGCTTTTCATATTGTAATACATAATTCGATATCAAGGAACTAAACAGCTCTAATAATTAAGTCTTACTTGTAGCAGTTATGCAATGATCTTTCACCAAGCACAAAACTAGAACTGAGGAAAAAAATACAATCTGGTTATGAAAAATACATTTTATTATAACCGTCGCTATTAATAAACTTATTTTGGAAGTGATATTTTGCGTTCCTTTCTGGGTTTCTCCAGCCCAAACTCTCTCGGAGCCTTTAGGAACGCCTGTCAACGCAGGMTACCGACATAATCATGTTGCCATGGATGGTGTATAAGGTATGAAATTTTAGGTCTGGCATAGAGTTTGGTTTTGAGGTCCTCACGGAACACCCTGATCCAAGTTATAGTGTAAGTACCCGAGCTCGTCGTACATGGTTGGTAGCCAACTGCACAGGAGTCTCGTTGGCTATTATAAAATTTTTGATATATAACGCGCGCTCTGATTGGCTGACGACCGTGTCTATATCAGAGGACAGAGACACGGCTTACCGGCAAAATTTTCTTTTCGCTCGAAAAATTTTATAAAAGAAATATAAAACGGCCGCTTGTGTCTCTGTCCTCTGATATAAACACGACGGTGGGAGTTGAAAAACACTCGAGAAGCAAGAAAAACACTCGCTACGCTCGTGTTCCTAAGCTTGCTTGTCTCGTGTTTTTTGAACTCCCAACGTGTTTAAATCAGAGGACAGAGACACGCGCGCCGTTTTATATTTCTTAATTATAGATCATAATAACTGTAAAATATAACACGTTGAAAATGTAGAGCGCGCAACGATTTTAAACGAGTAACTATATACTAGGGAATCAGATATCGTCAGCACAAACTTGAGTAGGTATAATTAAGAGTATCAATGACTTTTGTTTTTTAGCCTAGTGTCCATTTAATAGTAACAAAATATGTTTTGCATATTTGTTAATGTCCTTCTGGTAACTAGATCAGCAACAGCAGCTTTGACATGAAGAAAACTTACCGGTATTTACAGCCAAGAGAACATACATTGTCACGGGCTTYAAGTTGAATAAACCTTTGTATACTAACACCGCTCTCAAGAACAGTTTTGTATTAGCTATGACGTCATAAAATACATCATTTTTTTACTGTTTTCATTGGTAGCGATGACATCACGTGATAGACATGTTTGATTCCCTCTCATGCGTTTTCATTCGCGCTATTTCGTTTCTCTTGAAAGGAAATGACTAAAATGAATACCAGTGACACAATATGTCAAAGTATTACAAAAGGGGACAGCATATTTTACCATTTGTTATATCATAGCTCAATTCTAACACGCGCGGTGATTGGCGGATTTCATGAGAAAAGCTATGGTTTATTTCTCCGGTAAACCAGCCTGCTGTCTTGAAAGGCTTTTGAGTCTACATGGCGGACGCCGCCTATAATACAAAAGCAATAATAAACGATATTAGCTTGGCCTGGCTGCTCGTTATTTACAGATCTTTTCTAGTGTTCTACTAACCTGAGTATCAGGCTCTCGGGGGGAAAAATGTCTCCTCCCCAGTCCACCTCGAAGACCTGATACGCAGGTTAGTGTTCTCCCAACCATCCCGCGCGGTTTATTTCGCCACTAAACCGCTTAAAGCTTTTGCTTATTGCTTTAATTAAATACTCATTGGAAAAATCGTGAGCCGTCACAAGTTCACAATTAGKTGAGGTTAAATAACGCACCAAAGGGTAACCTATAATTTAGCTTTTATAGGAAAATCGACGCGAAAAATGAATGCGAATGCTGCGAGGGAACTGAACTTTTCGCGTAAATCTTCAAAATCTATAAACCCTTCGGGGGTTATTGGATATTTTGATTGTCTTTATATGTAATGTATACAGAACGAGAGAGCGTGTTGTATCGGGTGATAAAGATCCGAGCCGAAGGCGAGGATCTTTAGCACCGATACAACACGCTCTCGAGTTCTGTATACGGCTTATCAAACTTTATAATAATTCTCATTTAATTTTTTTTGAAAAATTTGAATATCTTGCTGCATTTCATCGATTAAAATTATCACCGTATGTCGCCGTTATTAAATATTCGTCAAATATAACTGTTTGTATGGCGCCATTGTTTCACGAAACGACTGARCTATCAAGGGAATTTCTAAATGATTAATTGAA